TAAGGTGGAAGAGAAATGATTCCAACTTTGAAAGAAGTTCTACAATGAGTAAAATGCTATTAAATAGCATCAAGTACTGCGGAGTCATCTTCTATGAATGGAAGGATCAATGTGGCACATCATTGATGTCTTAATTATCAGTCACCCCAATATTCAGCCACCACCTATCAATATGGAAGAGGAATTCTGCATTGACAAACATATAGACTACTTAGACTCTTAGACTACTAAGAGCTCACATGACGGCTAGCATTTCTTAACAATGAGGTAATTAGTAATTAAGGTATGTTGTACACTCTTTTTTAAGATATGCTATTGCACACTTGGTGGAATACAGTAAGGTGCAGTGGGAAACCAAAAATTTTGTGTGACTTATTTTATTGTGATATTTGACTTATCACAGTTGCTTACAATTGAATCCACAATATATGAGATTTTCTTGTATTCCATTTTGAAATATAAGTAATATTTAGTCAAACTGGAAGTTTAACACACCATTGAGTTAATGATAAATTCTTAGTGATGAATATAAGTCTGAAATCATTTGTTTTAAAACTAAAAACACAATTTCCCCTTTAAACTTGATAAATTGATAAATTTGGAAGAATATTGCTATGTATTTCAATGAAATTATTATGAAGATGAATCATTCAAAATACAGTTTAGTCTATCAAAATCTGATGCCTCTGATTATACATGTATTTATTTCAGGTCTGTATAGGGCCTAGAGTCATCTAATTGTAGTTAAATCAATGAACAATAGATTGAATTATCAACTGATTGATTCAGCTAGGCCATTAAGGTAACTGAAATAAGAATTCCAATGTTTGGGATAGTTATTCTGGTCAACCTCATGGCCAAAACAGACTAATAATTCTGCAATTCAGTCTCCTGCTTGACTCTCAGAAGTGGTTAGACTTGAGTACAGTGAACCTGACAGAAACAATGGCCACTTCGATCTATCTCATCGATCACAGATGACAACACATTTTAAAATATTTCAACTCTTATTGTTTTGTTACTGATGTTTCAAAAAATCATTATAAAGCAGTTTACTGCTAACTTACTCATAAATCATAATTCAATTTATCTGAAGTCATTAATCCACAAACTAGTTGCAAATTTTCCTACATATGAAAATTTTTTTTTAATCTGGACAAAGTAAAAATTCAAGGAAAATTTCTTTTAAAAATCTACAAGGTATTTTAAACACAATACCATCTCACTCCCTCTTCCAAGACACTACTTGGCTTTTATATCAGCCAGGGCTCTCCCTCTGCATAAACTGCATCTTTCATGTTTCCAAGACCTGCCCTTAATATCTCCCCCAATCATCTTCATTTTTGAATCTCTTATACTTACTTAGTTGCAACTTTAGGCCAGTTCTCCCCAGGATTAAGGTCAAAGAATTCTAACTTATTTATTTCCCATCTTAACACTGTTACTTTGAGTTTGAAACCTTCCAAAATTTCCTGAGCCCTGTGATCCAATCTAACCGAATGTGTGCGTTGCCTGAAAAGCTTGTTCTGTCACTCTTTACTCCTGCATTTCTCATGCCTCTCCTCTTTTCTAAAGGATACTTCTCACTCCCCAGCTACTACTGGTTCTTCATGATTGTCACACTGGTGAGATTACATACTTGATATATGGAAGAGGTGATAGGAAATATGTTCCACATGGTCTTGTATTACACTAAATATTTAGAACTAGATAATTCTGCATAAATTCATACATGAATTATAGCAAATAAAACCAAGAGGGGCAAAATCTCAAAGCTTCTCATTAGCATTTATAATTCAAAATATGGAAAGAAATAGCTTTATCAGTCAACACAGTACTTCAGTGGTTATGGAAAACTATTTTTTTAGGCAGTCATAACATGTTAACAGTATTATGTTTTCCATTTTTGTTAACACTATGTGCCTCAATTGAATAAGTGCTAGACTAGAGAATAGGCAATATGTATATACAACTTATTACTGACCCAAGTTGGTGCTTTGAGAAAGCAGAAATTGATTTTGAATGGATTATCTTGATCTTTAAAATCAGAGAACCATAAACTGACAACTAAGAGAGGCTAGGATGGACCATCCATTCATTCACATTTTGCTCCATCTTGTACTTAATGTGTACCTGTGTATTTGACCTCCAAACAAACTTGTAAACTTGAGAATAAATGTGCCAAACACATTCCCCTTCAACAAGTCCATCCTATGTTCAATAGCATATGAGTCAGGCTTAATAAAGACAATAACATCTGTCCATACATTATTTTATAATAACTTTTTGAAATTTTGTATTTGAATTAACAGCACATAAAAAATTCTCATTAGGTATAATTTTTTTAAACAAGATGTTCTCATTCAGGCAAGAAATATCCATACTTCTCCAAAGAACTTCAAATACTGATTTTATCCCAATTACATCACACAATTTGGTTTTAAATAAATCTTTATGCATTACAATGCAAATGTGCTTTACAAAGTAAATAAAGGTAAATGGCAGTTGGAGGACTTTGTTGTATCTCTGTATCTTTCAAAATATTCCATTTTAAATTTAATAATTAGTCCAACTTGATTCTTTTATACTATTGGAAAACAGGTGCCTTAGTCCTATCAAAATAATCAAACATGGGCCAGCACTGGCAGAGCAGGTAAAGCCACCACCTGCAGTGCCAGCATTCCACACGGGTGCCAGTTGTGGTCCTGGCTTCTTCTCTTCTGATCCAACTCTCTGCTATTGGCTGAGAAAGTAGTACAGGGTGGCCCAGGTCCTTGGGTCCCTGCACTCATGTGAGAGACTTGGAAGAAGCTCCAAGATCCAGGCTTTGGATTGGCCCAGATCTGGCTATTGCAGCCATTTGGGGCGTGAACCAGTGGATGGAAGACTTCTCTCTCTTTCTCTACTTCTGCTTCTCTGTAACTCTGCCTTTCAACTAAATAAATAAATATTTTAAAAATACAATAATCACACATATTGTTAGGGAACCATTCATGGAGAAAGTAATTGTAGCACAGTTTGAAACAAAGTAACTGTAGCACCCTTTGAAAGAAAGTAACTGCCCAGTAGTGCAGCTTGAAAGAAAAATAGAAAGGCAACCACCCTAGCTGATAAGATTTAAAAATGGATGGCCTAACTAGAGGGCCTAACCACAAACTGTGGTTGCCATGACTATGGGACCCTGGGAGGTCGGAATGTGGGCAGGGCTAGCCTCTAGAAATTGTATATAAGGGGACCCTCAGACGCTGTAAACCAGAGGTTGCTCAGCCTCTCTCCCCGGTCTGTAGTGCCTACTGCCCGCAGGAGTAGGCTTGAGCGATCTCTCCTCCTAGTCGCCTAGAGTATCAATAAAGTGTGTTTAGCTTGACCTTCCTCAGTCTCCTCGACTCTTCCTTCGTGGCAACCTGGCCAGTTCCTGAAGGGGGAGATCCTGACACATATCCCTGCCAATTTATTTCATGACTTACCCTGATTTCCAATCTGATTTATCAACAGATGCATTAAGAAATGTGAATTTTTAAATATTAAATTTTTGTGTCTTTTTAAGGCATGCCTAAATAAATGAATGTATGCACTGGAAATAAATGCTGTATTTGTACCTGTCTCTGCTTGGTGGATGTAATATATAATAGTGTTATTTATGGTTACTGACAAATGTGTCAATATTTCTATAACAAATGGAGGAGAGAATATACAAAATACTGAGAAAGAGGTTTTGGAGATGTCCTTAATTAAAACATCTAGAAACTTTGATTCAATTTGTCACCCTACTTTTATAATCACTTAAGAATACTACTTTGCTGCAAAGATGCAGTACTTTTGATAGATACACACAGTTAACAGAAGGCAGGAGCCAATATCCATGCTTCCAGAAGTAGTTGACCCAATTACCCAAGTGTGTACTTTTTTTTTTTAAGATTTTATTCATTTGAAAGGCAGAGTTACAGAGAAAGAGGGAGAGAGAGAAAGAGAGGAGAGTTCTTCCATCCGCTGGTTCACTTCCCAAATGGCCTCAACAGCCGGGGCTGTGCTAGTCCAGAGTCAGGAGCCAAGAGCTTCTTCCAGGTCTCCCATGTGGGTGCAGGGGCCCAAGAACTTGGGCCATCTTCCACTGCTTTCCCAGGCCACAGCAGAGAGCTGGATCAGAAGAGGAGCAGCCAGAACTCAAACTGGCGCCCATATGGGATGCCGCACTGCAAGTGCGGCTTTACCCACTACGCCACAGCGCCAGCCCCTGTGTGTACTTTATTTTGTGATTCCCCTAAGTGAGTCTAAGTAAGTCTAAATGAGAAAATACATAACATGTAGTTATAATAGGAGCATTCATTGGAAGAGATCTTAGAGAATACTCAATCTAATCTCTCATAATTAAGGAGAGGAAAAAGAGGCCAGGGTCGTAGGGATATGCCTGAGAAAAGAAAATGAGAGATGGAGAAAGACACTTCATTAAGATCATACTTTATTGTAATTATTTGTTTGAATTCCTTCAAAATTCAAACAGACCAGTCCCTCTCTCAGTCAATGCTGTATCTCTGGTACTGAGCAAATACTTAGAAATCCGTGTGTGAGAAAACGCATAAATGATTTCCCAATATTAACTTAAGGAAGGGTTTTAACCTTGCTAATGTTTTCATCCTTTGAAAACAGGGATAACTTGGCCTTTTTAGCGTTATTAGGGGAAAATGAACTAATACATGAGATCTTTACCAACAGCTCTTGCTAAAAGAAACACTCCTTAAATATTAATGAAATGAATGGATGCATGGATGAATGGAATGAGTAAATAAATGAATGAATGAGGCCAAAATTAAGGAGATATACATACTTCAAAGACAAGACATGGAAAAACAAGAACTGTTGGCATAATGTCATCAAGTGTCTCAGCAAGAAAGGACAGAATAATCAACAGCAAATGCAATGAAAATTGCAACTGTAAAATAATTGTTACTTGAACTATCCTAGAGATGATCATTCTGAAAAATTAAAGAACACTATAATACCTGATAAAATTCTGACTTCTGCTTCATTTCCTGTTCTGGAGCTGGCTGGATTCCGAGCTGTGCATCGATAGATTCCAATGTCCCCTGGTTGAAGTCTGCTGATTTGCAATGCTCCAGAGGGCAAGACCACCACCCTAGAGTCCCCTGGGACTGGAGTCAGGTCTTGCTGGTTCTTCTGCCAATGTATTGTTGGCATGGGCTCCCCGATGACTTCACACTTAAGTAGCACTGTATCTCCCATGAAGGCTGTGACGGATTCTGTCTGGGAAAGGAACCTCAATGGTCCTAAGAGAAAAACAAAGAAAGAAGGATGAGGCACAATCATCTCTAATAAAAACAATCACTCTTATTCTCCATGGAAAATTATACATATACATATATAAAGCTGTATTTATTTTATTTGAAAGGAAGAGTTAAAGAGAGGGAGAAAGAGTTCTTCCATCTATTTGTTCACTCCCTGAATGGCCACAATGGCCAGGCTGACACTAGGAGCCTGGAATTCCATCCTGGTTTCCCACAATGGTGACAGGGGCCTAAGCACTTGGGCTATCTTTGCTGCCTTCCCAGGCACATTAGCAGGGAGCTGGATCAGAACTGGAGCAGCTGGGACTTGAATCGGTGCCCATATGGGATGCTGTTATCACAGGTGGCAGTTTGACCTGCTCTCTATAATGCTGGCCCCAAAAATTATATTTTACAAAATAATCTCTCAAATCTCATCTCATTTGCTCTTCACACTTTAATAATATGTGTGTGGCATTACAGGAGGTTCTGTGGCTACAAAAGAAAATGATGACGATGCTGCCATTCATTTCCAGAAGCTCACAGTTGAATGAATTTTAGTGAAACAGTCCTGTAAGGCAGAGCAGACAGGACCATGCTAATTTTACAGAGGAGGAACCTGGGGCTCAGAGAAGTCAAATTCCACATGCAAGTTTTCATGTTAACGATGCAGCAATCCTGCAAATATGCCCTAGTTCAAACTTGTGGCACCATGCTCTACCAGTTAGCCATCTTCGAACATAAAACTAAGAAATCATGAGGATGCACAGAGTGGTTATTCAGCATAATCTAGAGAAGTTTCAAGAGAGCAGATCCTGTGAGCCACCACAACAGACAATTTTTTTGGATAGCCTGCTTAAGGTACAAATTCAGCAGTATTGCCAGGTGTGGCTGTGGTGCACTGAAATAACCCTAAGGTTAGTATTAGAATTGCTTGGATTTTGGCCTGATTTGGCCACTTGCTAGGTATGAATTTTTTTAGCCTGTTTTTTATTTCTTTGGAGCATAAAGTGAATAACAGCTGACTCACATGATCCTGATGATGTTCACATGGAATAATGTGAAAATAATGCATTTATACATGAGATTGAAGAAATGTAGAGGACAGGGGCTGGCACTGTGGCGCAGCAGGTTAAAGCCCCAGCCTATAGCACTTGCATCCCATATGGGCTCTGTTTCGACTCCTGGCTGTTTCTCTTCTGAACCAGCTCTCTGCTATGGCCTGCAAAAGCAGTAGAAGATGGCCCAAGTCCTTGAGACCCTGCACCCACATGGGAGACCCAGAAGAAGCTCCTGGCTCCTTGCTTCAGATGAGCTCAGCTCTGGCCATTGCAGTTATTTGGGGGAGTGAACCAGCAGATGGAAGACCTCTCTCTCTCTCTCTCTGGTTCTACCTCTCTCTGTAACTCTGTCTTTCAAACAAATACAATAAATATTTAAAAAAAAATAAATGTAGATGACAAAGAAAATAAGTAAACTGCCCATCACTGAGTGCAAATAAACATGGTGATAGACAATGCCTCTGTCTTTGTGTTGTTCTTGAGAGAAGATATTTTGATTCTTCCCTTTTGACCCCTCTTTTATGAACAAGAAATCATCTTTACACTAATGCTTGACTATGAAATTTTTTCTTAATGATTACAAACAAGCACGTTTGTATGAATTATGTAACCAGTGATAGATGATTGGCAATTTTATTTTCTACAGCCAATTCAACCAAATAATTTTGATTCCTTGATTCATGTACTATTTATCACAGTTATATTGAAATATTTGCTATAATCCTACTAGAATTATTCTCATTGTATGTACATTTAACAGTTAAAGTACACTTATTGTCAGTTTTAGGTTCAAATCAAGTTTTGCTAATCATTTATGATTCTATAATTTCTATTTTACATGTTATTTTAATTAAGTCAGAACATCAAAGGTTCATGTTTTAATCATGTCAAGACTTTTTATTTTTCCATCAATATTTAGTCAATAACAAATTCTACTTTCTCTTTTAACCAGTGTTAGTTTGAACTTGGCTTTATTAATACAGTCCTAGTTTTCCCTACAATCTAATAAAATATTTCTGGGGCCAAAACCACAAAGGCAAAATGGCTGGGTTCAGCATAATTTAGACAATATTAGAAATGCTATAGTGAAATCTTTCCCAGGTGAAGGTGGAATTTCATGTCCCTTTCAGGGACTAGGGCTTTTGAAACAGAAAGGTAACTAAATATATGAAATACGAAGTTGTCAATGTCACACATGAAATAGGTACAAGCTCCTAAAGGCCACTGTCACGTGAGTGATACCCACGCAGACAGAACTGCAATTCTGCAGATGGAATTTTCACACTAGTAAATGATCACTGCTAGGCTATGCAGAGAACTTCATATAGATGTGAATATTAATTTACCTACTGGAATGTATGCCACACCTATAGGTACTAAAATTCCTCATCTTATCACTAATTTATGGCTCTGAAATCTGAATCCATGGAGCTACCCAGATCATCACAATAGCTCTATCTCTACACGGGGCACCAACCATTATGTCACTGCATCTGGCTTGAAGAATCACATAAGGTGAGAGATTATATATGAAGAAAATTGGTCAACATAATTGACTACTATTCCTCATACTTGCCCAGTGTATATTCTAAGGTCAGAACTATATCTAATTCAAAAGATAATGCAATGTTTGGAATTTTCTAATATTTGATTTTCTGTCACAGAGGGAAATTATAAACATAATTTGTTGCTTCTTTTTGTCTGTACAAGGTAAACTCAGTGTTTCAAAAAGGAAATCCAAATTTATAAGGCTCTAAATGACTTAGATTAATACTCTGGATATTTTACTGAATTGTAGCATTTCTCATAGTGCTGTCACAACAACCAACAGTCTTAAATGAAGTCTTAGGCCATCAGCTTAGTATTGTATTTTCTAGGCACGCACATGAACGTCTAGTAATGAACATTATACCTACTATAACTCATAAAAATGAATTGTAATAGTTTCAGAAGTGTCATTTAATGCTCTAACGCAATACAAACAATTTAATGCTTTCTACATAGAGAGATACGGGTATAATTTTAACTATGCATTCACAAAAAATTGTTAACTACTCAACTGTATTCTCTTCTGACTCTTCAGATATCTGACCCACTGCAATCATAAGATTTCCTAGATCTATTCAAGTCCATTCCAAACATAATCAAAACATATGTATCCTAAATTATCACACTTTTTGCTTCAATCAAGCAATTATGGTGTTCCTCAAATGTTCTGCTGTTACATTGTGCCTCAAATACTGAATAAAGGTTATGGCTGAACATGTACTCAGCAATCTATCACAAAGTACCTTCCAGGTTTATCTTCTACAATTCCTCAAAACCATTCTCAGATCTCGTGAACATGCCCATGCCCTAAACACAGCTTCCTTAATAGTATTTCTCATGCTTCTTCCTCTAAAAAAGTATCCCCACTCTCCTGAGATCTATCCAACCTGTAGCCACTTTAAAGAATGAGTCAAGAGGGTCCATCTTTTCCCTGCTCTTACTGATGGGAAATAATCTCTTCTCCTTTTGAGTTTTTATAGTACTTAGGACTTACAGATACTACACAGAGATGGGTGCATAAATAAAATCCTAAAAAATGCTTGTCTGCTTGCATATACATTTCTTTTATCTCTATACAGTATATAAAATATTTACTGAAAGAAAAGCAATAAACAAATGCTTGCTGAGCTTCTATGTGACTAAATATTTTGAATATTACAAATAGCCAAATTTTGAAAATTGAGTTTTGGCTTTGGCTTTCACACTTTCTGACACTCCCAATGGCATTTTGGAATTATGGATGATAACACTGGGCTACCAGGTTACCTGGGCCCATGTCTCAGCTTTACCATTTAGCCAGCTGGGTATCTTAGGCAAGGTCTCCGTTTTATCACTTACACTATCCTTAAGCACCTTTATAAATTGTCTCTCCTAATCTTCACAACAGCTTTATTTTTAGGTGTTATCAACACTTTACAGAAGGAATTGATTATTGGAACAAAACTCTTTCAAACAGCCATACTGTAACATGATTTTTTTTATGGTAAGGAACTGAAATATTCCACTTTTTAAGGGTACTGTCTTGCCCTAACCTCACTGAAAATGCCTCGAGTTTCTTATATGTCAAAACTGTTGAACTCTTTACTTAGTATATACTAAATTGGTCTTCTGTATATATAGATAATTGAAAATGAATCTTGATGTGAATGGGATGGGAGAGGAAGCGGGATATTGGAAGGTTGCTGGTGGGAGAGAGGTTATGGGGGGGAAGCCACTGTAATCCATAAATTTGGAAATTTATATTTATTAAATAATATTTATTAAATTTATATTTATTAATAATATTTATTAAATAAAAGTTTAAAAAAAAACCTCTCCACTCCTGAAGCTCCAAGCAGCATCAGAGTACTGGGTAAGCGTTGTTCAGTAAGCACAGTTGGCCCTTCCTATCTGCAGGTTCTGCATCTGAAGATTCTATCAAACATACATTAAACATAGTTACCCCTCCAAATAAACTGTCTGTATTAAACACGTACAGACTTAGTTCTTCTTGTCATTATTCCCTAAAGCAATACAAAACAACAATTTAATAGCATTTACATGGTATTAGGTATTTATAAATGAGTTAGGGATTATTTAAAGTTTGTGCATAGATTATATGCCTATACAATGTCATTTTCAAAGAGGGGCTTGAGAATTTGAGGATTTTGTTTTCTACAGGGATCTTGAATTGACTTCTCACAGGCAAACTTCAGCCTGAAGTACCACACTATTAAAAACAGCATAGACACCTATTTTTGATGCTCTCAGAGGGTTTTCCATGTTAGCCTTGTGGAAAAGTTTCCAAGAATGAACCTACCTTCCCACACAGACTGGCCCAGGGTAATGAGCCAACTTTAAATCCGGGAGCACCTGGACTTTCTTGAAATAACTCACTCCAGCCAACTCCTAAGT